ACCCCGCATACCAGACATTGGGCCGGCATTCGCATTCCTTTCTTCAACTGATAGTTGTGCTGCTTGCAATCAGCGCCGACGCACCGCTTTCCGCAGCATTCTTTCCGGCCCCGCACCAGCCACGCGCACTTGTTTGTCGCTCGAGACATCGCGGCTCGGGCGGTATAACAGCGGGCTCGCTTTTTTCAATTGGTGTGTCTCTCCCCCTTTCCCTTAAGTTGCAAGTAGTATATAGGGGATTAACCAAATACTGTTTCAAAGAGGGACCCAGCATTTCCCCGTTTGCAGCCCCCAGGTTCATCCGAACCGAGCTTGTGAGGTTCGGACTCGAAGTAGGGGGCTGTAAAACGGGGAAATACTTCTCCCTCTGCGAAACGGTATTTGGTTAATCCCCTATATACTACTTACTCAACCTCCTCCTCCCCCTCCTCCTCCTCCACCTCCTCGTTCTTCTTTCCCACCTCCTCCTTCTCCTCTTCCTCCTCCTCCTTCAACTCCTCCTCCTCCTTCTTCTCCACCTCTTTCTCCTCCTCCTCTTCCACCTCTTCCTCTTCCTCCTCCTCCAACTCCTCTTCCTCCATCTCCTCCACCTCTTCCTCCTCCTTTTCCACTTTCCCCTCCTCTTCCTCCTTCTCCTCCACTTCCTTCTCCATCTCCTCCTCCTCCTTCTCTTTCATCTCCTCCACCTCCTCGTCCTCCACCTCCTACTTCTTTTCTGCAACATCCTTCTCTTCCTCCTCCAATTCCTCCTTCTCCTTCACCTCCTCCTCCACCTCCTCCTCCTCTTACACCTCCCCCTCCACTTCCTCCACCTCCTTCTCCTCCTCCACGTGATCTTCTTCCACCTCCTCTTCCTTCTCCTCCCTCTCCTCCTCAAGTCCTTTATTTTCCCTTTCTTCCATGATCGTAACGATCAACTAAATCACCAATAATTATCGACCAAGGATAAAACTAATGCTTTATCGTGCCATTATTGGTGATGGTGGTAAATGTGTTAATGGAGGTGGTGGTGGTGGAGGTTGAGGAAGTGGTGGTGATGGTAGTGGTGGTAAAGGTGGTGGTGATGAATGTGGTGGTGCTAGTGGTGGTGGACGTGGTGGTGGTGAATATGGTGGTGGTGGTGAATTTGGTAGTGGATGTAGTGGTGATTTCAAGTTCTGGAAATACGCTGTTAGTATTTTCAAAAACGCCACCACATCCACCACCACATTCACCATCATTGCCTTCACCACCACGATATTCACCACCACCACGTCCATCACCACTACCACCACCACCACATTCACCACCACCACCTGTACCACCACTACCTCTACCTCCACTTCCTCCATGTCCACTACCACATTCACCACCATCGCCAATAACGGCACGATAAAGCATTAGTTTTACTCTTGGCCAATAATTATTCGTGATTCAGTTGATCGTTACGATCATGGAAGACAGGGAAAATAAAGGACTTGAGGAGGAGAAGGAGGAGGAGGAAGAGGAAGAGGGGTGGAAGAGGAAAACGTGGAGGAGAAGGTGGAGGAGAAGGAGGTGGAGGAAGAGGAGGAGAAGGCGTAGGAGGAGGAGGTTCTGGAGAAGAAGGAAGTGGAGGAGGAGGAGGAGATGGAGGTTTTCTTAATACCCGTTTATAAGTCAATCGGTCTTGATAGAATTCATTTTACTTGTGACAACGTTCAGCACACGCCTTCTTTTCTAAACGTAACATTCTTTCCTGTCTTCGTGGCTATGGAGTTGAGCGATGCTAGCTGTGTGACACTTTGGAGGAAAGGACTATGTTTGATGTAAGTGATTTATTTTTGGCGCTATTGGAAACCCGCTTGGATAACTATAATTGTTGAATTAGGAGCGATTTGCAGTGTTTGTAAATGAAGTTTAGTCTTTACTTCAAGCGCGAAACGTTTGTTTGAAATTCCTTTGATTTTATTCTCAAGGGTTAAGATACAGTCTATCATGATTTCAGCTTCTACACATATGCTTTTCGGTTTTAATTTATT